GTTCTGCTATACTAAATATATGATATTACTTCAATTAAAGCGATAAAAATGGGTCCCGTAAACGTCAATGGAGGCTTTTATGCACACGCACACATAATGTTTAAAGACAGCAGATATATTAAATATGGGAATTTGACTAATAGCAGTCTAGCTCAGATGTGTTGTTTGAATCCACAGTGGATTGTGGATACACCATGTTGATGAGATTTTGGTACTATCTTTGTCTGTAACTGATCCTACTAAATTGGCTGAAACGTGAATTACTTGGCTCCTGTTCTGTAATTCAAGATGGCGAGCAAGTTTAAGACGCAACTCCCCATTCACCACATAATGTTGACTAGGTCAGGAAACAAGTTTGGCTGCCTTAAAAGTTTAGCATCATGAAATAAAAGAGAATCCACTAAGGACTGGCTGATGTGCTACCATCAGAAGCTGGGGAAACTTTTGACTTAAGGGTATTTTCTTGGAGAAGAAATATATTTCAAGGCAAATGTTTGAAATGTCTTGCTTAATTCTACTTTCACCAATATTCAGTGATTAGATACTGTGAACATTAGGAAGGTATAAGAGGTGTGCAATTATAAACACCTCCCCCCCAACAACAACAACAAAAAAACCCTCTTGTTTACACCACCTAACATTAAATTGGGGGCTTCCCAAAACATGTGGGCAGAAATAGGACTAGATAGCAGATGCCTAGTGGTTAATAAAGGCTTGTTATGAAGATAAGTAGAAGCTCTTCTGTAGAATACTAGCTGCATATCTGAGCACAGGAGTAATTTCCCTTTGCCTATTCTCATTAGTGCTTAAGCAACCATAGAGTTTCCCTGGGAAGAGGCAGATATGTAGTATCAGGAATTGGAGGCGATTGAGGAATGGACACTTAAAAGAGATAGCAGAGTGAAGATTTCAAGGTTAGATTAACACTGAAGCTGAGATCAGGTTCCTCTGGGAAACAACGAGCACTTCCATAGCAGCGGTTTCCCGTCAGTTATGTAGAATAGCATATGCCCACCAGAGACTATGTTAAGAATGTGCGTGCAGTGTTACCAATGTTATAATTTCATGGACAAGAAATCATGACATTTTCATAATACACCTAATTTGTATACCAGTAGTATAGACTATTGAGGCCATTATTCTACAAAACCATGGAATTCTACAGATTACTCTGGGAGTTGCAGTTTTTAATTTAGTTACAAAATTTAAAAGAAAGAATGAAAAAAAGTTGTGATAAATGTCACAATATTATATATATAAGGTCGTAATTCTATGGTCTCTTTGTATAGCAACACCTAGTAGTTGTTTCTTTAGCTGTGGGAATTTTCAGTGACACAGAGGGAGTTACTATAAATTTCCTTTTTAAGGAATAGGTGTTTCACCAATGTACAAAGAGTGTTATAATCAGCAGGTTCTTGTATAGCAATATGCTATATTAATCTGATCATGTTTTCAATCATTTTTTGGTAAAGTATACCTGCATCCATAGTCATAAAGCTCCTTACTACCTGTAAATTATAATGTTGGAATGTCATGATTTATTTCATAGGATAAAGGTTGTTAAATTAATAGTGACAGCACTATTAGCGTTCTGATCTTGAACAGAAATACCAGTCAGCTTTGTTTAAGTCACCATTCACTTGAGTCACGAATAAATGTGCAGTTAAAAGGGTGCCATAAGTTAATCAGAGTAGAATTAGTAAAGAAGTGAGCAATTTAGGAACAGAGGAATTGCTATGCCAGATCAGATTATCAAGTCTTTTTCTCTAACATGCTCTCCCCAAGTAGCTAGTGCCTGGAGCTTTAGAGTGACATTAGAGAAGGGTCCACAACTAGATAAATTCAGAATATTTAGAATGCTCCTGGTATTTTAGTAATAATTGAGCTGCTAAGCATGATTATTAGTTCTTGCCTTTAGTGCCGGCACCTTCTACCCCTTCCAGAAATTAATACCCATTTCATAGATTCATAGATTCATAGATGTTAGGGTCAGAAGGGACGTCAATAGATCATCGAGTCTGACCCCCTGCATAGGCAGGAAAGAGGGCTGGGTCTAGATGACCCCGGCTAGATGCATATCTAACCTCCTCTTGAAGACCCCCAGGGTAGGGGAG